ACATAGGGAGCTCGACCTAAGGCCCCAGTGGGGGTGGCCACATGCGTCCGCCACACCCAGTACAGCGCTTCGTGGCCTCATAGGGAGCTCCACCCAAGGCCCCAGTGTGGGGGGGGGCACATGCGCCCGCCACACCCACTACAACGTTTCGTGGCCCCCACTAGGGAGCTCCACCTAAGGCCCCAGTGGGGGGTGGCCACATGCGCCCGCCACACTCAGTACAGCGTTTCGTGGCCCTATAGGGAGCTCCACGCAAAACCCCGTTGGGGTTGGCCACATGCGTCCGACACACCCAGTACAGCGCTTCGTGGCCCCATAGGGAGCTCAACGCAAGGCCCCAGTGGGGGTGGCCGCATGCGTTCGCCACACCCAGTACAGCGTTTCGTGGCCCCACTAGGGAGCTCCACGCAAGGCCCCAGTGGGGGGTGGCCACATGCGTCCACCACACCCAGTACAGCGTTTTGTGGCCCCATAGGGAGCTCCACGCAAAACCCCGTTGGGGTTGGCCACATGCGTCCGCCACACCCAGTACAGCGCTTCGTGGCCCTATAGGGAGCTCCACCCAAGGCCCCAGTGGGGGTGGCCACATGCGTCCGCTACACCCAGTACATCGTTTCGTGGTCCTATAGGGAGCTCCACCCAACACCCCGTTGGGGTTGGCCACATGCGTCCGCCGCACCAAGTACAGCGTTTCGTGGCCCCATAAGGAGCTCCACGCAAGGCCCCAATGGGGGGTGGCCACATGCGCCCACCACACCAAGTACAGCGCTTCGTGGCCCCATAAGGAGCTCCACGTGAGGCCCCAGTGGGGGTGGCCACATGCGTCCGCCACACCCAGTACAGCGCTTCGTGGCCCCACTAGGGAGCTCCACGCAAGGCCCCAGCGGGGGGTGGCCACATGCGTCCGCCACACCCAGTACAGCGCTTCGTGGCCCCATAAGGAGCTCCACGTGAGGCCCCAGTGGGGGTGGCCACATGCGTCCGCCACACTCGGTGCAGCGTTTCGTGGCCCCCCATGTGGAGCTAGCTCCAGTGAAAGGCCCCTGTGGCACCGCCCGCATGCGTCGTCCACCACCCAGTACTGCATTTCGCAGCCCCATTGATTCGGAGCTCCACCAATCCCCCGTGGCACCGCCCGCATGCGTCCCCCCCACCCGGTACAGCGTTTCGTGGCCCCGTAGGGAGTTCCAGTGGCCCGCCCGCGTGCGACCCCCCACCCAATGCAGCGTTTCGTGGGCCCATCGGGAGCTCCACCGAAGACCCCAGTGGCACCACCCGCATGCGTCCCCCCCTCCCGTGGCTCTATAATTAGGGAGCTCCACAGAAGGTCCCAATGGCACCGCCCGCATGCGTCGGCCACTACCCAGTGCAGCGATTCGTGGCCCCGCAGGAACCTCCACAGAAAGAACCCAACGGCACCGCCCGCATGCGTTTCCCCCAACCAATACAGCGCTTCGTGGCCTCATCGGGAGCTCCACCGAGGGGCACCGACCGCATGCGTCAGCCACACCCAGGACACCGTTTCGTGGCCCATAGGGAGCCCAACGAAGGCCCCAGTGGCACCTCCCGCACGCGTCTCCTCCACTCATTACGGCACGTCCCTCACGCGTTCCGTGGTCCCACAGGGAGCTCCACCGAAAGCGGCACCCACAACGCGTTACTCGCAACTGCATATGGCTGGGTCATTCGCCAGGATAGTTTCTGGTGCTAGACGGTCCAGGATGCTCCTCGCTGGCACTCGCCGAGGCAAGAGCGCACACGACCTGAGCGATGCCGAGAGCCACTCTGCCCCGTGGGGCCGACGGGGCCTCAGTGGAGCACCGCGCTCAGGCGACCCCGCGGGGCGCGCGGGGGGGCCGCGAGGTGGCCGCCCGCGGCGCGGGGCCCGCCGCGCCGCCGCTCGCCGCCGCGGGGCAGAACGGCTCCACGGCGATGCGCTTCCCGGCCACCAGCTGCTCGCCCCCGGCCTCCAGGACGCGTGCGACGGCGCCGGAGTCAGCCATCACCACGAAGCCGAGGTCCAGGCAATGCCACAGGGGGGGTCGCTGCCCAAGGGGTAGCCACCTCCTCCAGGGCACGGGCCCCCCCGAAGTCTCAGAGGCGTCCGGCACGCCCTCAAACCTCCTCCACCCACCTTCGACCCCCCCTCCTGCTCGACCCTCGATCTCGAAGGGGGAGGTGGTGACTCCCCTGCTGGCGACCCCCCCTTGGCACTGCCCGAGATGCTCCCTGGCCGCACCCGCGGGGCGGCCGCGGCCGCCTTGCCGCCAGGCCGCCTCACCTCCGAGTGCGCGATCAGCACCCGCCTGACGCACCCGAACGCCGAGAAGTGCGACGTGAGCACCGAGCCCGAAGTTCGGGGGCTGCTGCGGGTGCCCCTGGCCCAAAGTGCCCCCAGCTCTTCGCCACCTTTTTTGGGAGCCCTTGGGGGCCCCCTGGGCCTCATCATGGGGCTCTCTGGAGGCCGCGGGGGCCTCCCTGGAGATCCTGGGGGGCACCTCGGGCCCGGAGCACCTCCCGCAGCCCCCGAGACGTGAAGCCCAGGGTGCTGAGGCGCCGGGCCACGAACACGCACCGGTGGCTGAGCTCGAGCACGGCCGCCAGCGCGTGCTCCATCTTCAGCAGCGGCAGGTGCCCCCCCGCCGCCAGGGCCTCCTGGGCCTGGGCCTCCTGGGCCTGGGCCTCCTGGGCCTGGGCCTCCTGGGCCTGGGCCTCCTGGGCCTGGGGCGCGTCGCCGGGCGCGCCCTCGAGGCGCACGCCGCGCGGGGGCGGCTGCCGCTCTCCGCAGGCGCGGCCGCACGCCGCCGCAGCCCCCGGGCCGTCCGCCGGCTCCCGCGCCAGAGGCGGGGCGCCCGCGGCGGCGCACGCGGTCGTGGCCGCCGCGGGCGCGCCGCCGTGTGCGGCGCCGCAGGCGCCTGGCCCCCGGCCCGTGGGCCTCGCCGAGCTGCTGCGGGTCCTGGCCCCGGGCTTAGGTCGGGCATGTCCCCCTGGAGGGGGATGCGGGGCGAAAACTTACAGATACCCCGAACAATACTTCCAAGATGATGCTCAGGCATAGTTTTTGAAATATCGACCCCCGACTATGTTGTAACACCTTTTTGAATATTCCCCTGTAGAGGGACAGGCCCGACTTAATCCTGGGCTGGCAGCTGCGCGCGGTGCGCTCGGGCCCTCGCTCCGAGCGGGCGTCGCTGCCGCTGCTGTCCGCTTCGACGAAGGTGTTCTTGACCCGCCACGGGCGCCTGGTCCACGGCCGGCTGGCATCCGCATTGGCCGAACTAGATGCCGGCATCGGTTGGTGAAACATTCGCTGGGACAGCATTTTAGGAGGCAACTACTGGGAGATATTCGTCGGAAAGATTAAGGAAGATTCAGCCCCATCTGGGGGCTCTCACGACGGAGTGGGCCTCGGATTAAGCGGGATTAAGCCGTATTCAGCGGGGTTATGCCGGATTAAGCGGGGTTGAGCGGGATTAAGCCGGATGAAGCCGGATGTCGGACCAGGGCAATATCAGAATTTCACCTCCCAGCAGTTGCATCCGAAAGCACGGGCTGACTATCGAGGGGAGAAATGCTCGCGGAGGGGAGGAGAAGGGGAGTTCTGTGGGCTGACGTGCGCACGCACTTTTCTGCTGCGCAGCTGGAACCTCGCGCACCAGATTGTGCAGTTACGCATCACCGGGGCTGGCGCAACGGGGGCGGCCTTCTAAGAAGGCGGGGGGGCTTCTTAGAAGACAGCGGCCTTCTTAGAAGGGCCCAGGGGCTTCCGAGAAAACTCTTTAGAAGCCAGGCGGGCTTCTCACAAGGCCCCTGTCTTCTAAGAGGCGTCCCCCCACCTTCCTAAAAAACCCGCCCCTCGGGTGGAGGAACCAACGCCTGCACAAAACATGAGCATGAACTTTCGGAGTTCCTCTTCCCCCGCCTCCTCCTCCTCCTACTCCTCCTTCTTCCTTTCCAGTCGTCACATCCCCTCCCCCTGCCACCCCATTGGTTGAGCAGAGACCGATCGTCCCGGCATGCTTATAGGCTTACCACGGGATGTTCTTAGAACCCCCAGATAGTCCCCCAAAATATTCTTATAACAAGAACAACGTTCTTAAACCATAATTCCGATGCGTTTGAACAAGACAGTTCCAGCCAGAAGTGTTCTCAGAACATCTCGTGCAGACCACAAAAGGTTATTATAACATTCTTTGTAGACATATAGGCACGCCAGGACGTTTCGCCACTGCTCGAAAGAGGCGTCCCCTCACCTTCCTGAAAGGCCGCCCCTCGCGTGGAGGAAACAACGCCGGCACAAAACATGAGCATGAACTCTCGTAGTTCCTCCTCCCCCTCCTCCTCCTCCTCCCTCCTCCTCCTCCCTCCTCTTCCTCTTCCTCCTCCCGCTCCTCCTCCCCCTCCTCCCCCCCTCCTCCTCCCCCTCCTCCTCCTCTCCTCTCCTCCTCCTCCCCTCCTCCTCCTCTCCCCTCCCGCTTCTCCTCCTCCTCCTCCTCCTCCTCCTCCTCCTCCTCCTCCTCCTCTCCTCCTCCTCCTCCTCCTCCTCCTCCTCCCTTTCTTGTCGATGCATCCCCTCCCCCCGCCGCCGCATTAACGGGGTGATCGGCGGAGGGCTCCACCCACCACACGTGCGAGGGCACCGCTGGCCAGTCTGCCGGCTGCCCAGTCTGCTTGCTGCCCCACACTCGGGTAGGGCCCGGGGCCGCCGACCCCCGACGACGACTCCTCCCGCCGCCCTGTCCTCCCCCACCTTTCCGCCCCTCGCCCTCCCTCTCCCCGCCCGCCGCCCTCCCCTCCCTCCCTCCCCTCCCTCCCTGCTCCCCCACCCCCGGCCCTACCCCCCCACCCCCCTCTCCTCCTCCCGCCGCTCCTGTCCCTCCCAATCCCTCCCTCCTGCCGCCGCGCCTCCCTCCCCGAACTCCCTGCCCCCCCCCCCCCCCCCGGCCCTCCCCCCCTGCCCTCCCGCCAGCCCCCGCGCCCCGAGGTTCGGGCGGCCACGCCTCCTGCCGCTCCGCCATCTCCGCGGCCCGCGTCTCCTGAGACGGGGTTGCGGGGCGCGGCGCGGCGCTGGCCGCCGGGGCGTCCCCCGCCCTTCCACCCCTCTGCCAGGCCGGCCTTCCTCCCCCCTCCCTCCCGTCCTCCTCGCTTTCCTCGTCCTCACTCCTCTCTCGTCCTCTCTCGTCCTCTCGCGTCCTCCTCCTCCTCAGCAGCAGCAGGAGCAGCAGCAACAGCATCGGCATCAGCATCCGAACGATCATCATGAAGCATCATCATCATCATCATCATCAGCAGCAGCAGCAGCAGCAACAGCATCATCATCATCATCAACATCACAATCACCATCACCATCACCATCACCATCACCATCATCATCATCATCAGCAGCATCATCATCATCATTTTCACCATCACCATCACCATCACCATAACCATCATCATATCACCATCATCATCGTCATCATAATCATCAGCATCGTCGTCGCCGTCGGCAGCAGCAGCATCGTCATCATCATCATCATCATCATCATCATCATCATCATTATCATCATCATCCTCATCATCATCATCATCGTAATCATCACCATCACCATCATCCTCGTCGTCATCATCATCCCCATCATCCTCAGCATCATCCTCATCCTCATCAGCATCGTCATCAACATCATCGTCATCGTCATCGTCATCGTCATTGTCATCATCGTCAACATTGTCACCATCGTCATCGCCAACGTCAGAATCATCATCCTCACCATGACCCTCACCATCACCATTACCATCAGCATCACCACCACAACCACCACAACCACCAGCACCATCAGCATCAGCAGCATCAGCATCATCATCATCAGCATCATCATCATCAGCATCGTCATCATCATCAGCATCATCATTGTCATCATCGTCATCGTCATCGTCATCCTCATCATCATCACCATCGTCAACATCATCGCAATCATCATCATCGTCATCGTCATCACCATCATCACCATCATCATCATCATACTCAGCATCAGCATCATCACCATCGGCATCATCATCAACATCATCATCAACATCATCGCGATCATCGCCATCGTCATCGTCACCATCAACATCATTGTCAACATGTTCAACATCGTCATTGTCATCGTCACCGTTATCATCAACATCATCATCATCACTCTCATCACCATCACGTCTCCTCTTCCCTCCTCCCTCCGTCATCCTCGATCCTGTAACTGTCTTCGCTTTGCAAGGACGGCAACTTTGCCTACTATGCGATGCACCGCCTGTGCTCAGCAGTAGAAGACGAGAAAGTTCCACAACAGAGCGTGCCGCCCATGATCACTGGCGTGGCCTGCTCTACACTCCCGCGCGCGCCAATCGCCTCAATGATTCAAGCTGCAGATGCTAAAGACTCTCGCCAGCTCGCTCCGTCTGTGCGCACAGTTTATCTCCTTCCGGCGCCAGTGTCGCGGAGCAGACTTGGTACCATGATTGGCCCACGGCCATGGTGCAATGAAGTGAACCCCACCCTCCCCCTCAGAAATCGAGGGGGGTAGGGGTAGGGTTCGCATGTGGCCCCCTAATTCCATTCGCGCCCATGCCAAAAAGCGGCATCCTCAACGTCTGTGGCCCGTCTGCGCCCTTAAAGGAACCCACGAAGAGGGGATTCGGAGGGAGGGCCTACTGCCACACCGTTGACTAGCCTTGGCTTAGGTCGTGCGTGTAGGCGGACTGGGGACGAAAGATCAAAAACACCACAACAGTGCCCCAAAATGGCAAAACGATGCTCAAAAATCGTCCCCAGACTATTGTTCGACTATTTCTGTCCCTCCTGTAGAGGGACGTGCGCGACTTGAGCATTGGCCTGAACTGCGCTGGCCCTCAACGCGAGGCGGAGAGAGGCCTTTGCCCTTGGGCTCCCAAGGGAGAGGAGCCCCCAGCGGCCCTCCGCGGAATGGGCTGGAGAGCCGCGCAAGTGGAGCCGCGGGGGGGGACACCGGCAGCCCCGCGGTGAACTTGGCGCTCTCAGGAAGATGCTTGGGTAGTTTTTCGACGGAAGCCCTCTGGAAAACCTTCCTGAGGAAGGTTGTTGGAAGGTTGTTGGTGAATGAAACCCTCCAAGGGTGTTGTGTTTTTAGGAAGCCTCCGAAATGCCTTCTTGCAGAAAGCTTTTGGGAATTCTGTGTTGCGAGAAACCCTCCATAAAACGTTATCGAGGAAGGTGTCCGATCTATGTTTATATAGAGATGTGTTTATATGTGTACATACATATGTATGTATCAGAGTGAGGGGGCCGAACGATCATTCATTGTCCCTGGATGCGTGGCTTAAGCGGGGATCCGTGGTGCAGATTATGCTTGTTGCGTTGTTGTTGTTGCTAGTATTGTTGTTGTTGTTGTTGTTGTTGTTGGTGGTGTTGCTGTTGCTGTTGCTGTTACTGTTGTTGTTGTTGTTGTTTTTGCTGCTTGTTGTCGTCGTCCCACCCGCGACCCAACCTGCGACCAACGCCGCGGCCCACCCCGCGACCCATCCGCGACCCACCCCGCGACCCAATCCGCGACCCAATCCGCGACCAACCCGTGACCCATCCGCGACCCACCCCGCGACCCACTCGCGACCCACCCCGCGACCCATCCGCGACCCATCCGCGACCCACCCGCGACCCACCCGCGACGCACCCGCGACCCACCCTGCGACACACCCCGCGACCCATTTGCGACCCATTTGCGACCCATCCGCGACCCATTTGCAACCCATTTGCGACCCACCCGCGACCGACCCTCATTGTCTAACCGAAAAATCAGCGCCTGCCGCGGGCTCTGTGCATAATTTGTGAAATTTTGGCGCTTGCGGCGGGCTTCTCCAGGGAGTCTCGCAAACTGCCGACGTCCCCACCGCCCCCTCAATCTTATCCGCATCTGCGGGGGGCTACGTCTATATCTATATATATATATGTGTTACATGTATATATGTGTGTATACTAGAACCATGGCGCGCTTCGCGCTCGCTCAAGTTCTAGCTAGGCTTGATGGGCTAGCTCATGGGTGTCGAGGAAGAGGATAGGGAGTAGGAGTGCCAACTTACAAAGAAAGTGAATCTCTGGAATCTTGTTTTCGTCAAGTTCCTCGGCGCTGTTCGGCGCTGTTTTTGGGGCCTCGCGGGTTTTTAGCCGGGCCCCTCAGGGGTCTGGGGCCTTCTGGATCCCCTGGGTGTCCGGGAGGCCTCTCGGAGGCTTCATGGGGCGTCCTGCTCCCGCTCTTGGGCCCATCTTGGGCCTGTCCTCTTCCCCCTCTTCGTCCTCCTCCTCCTCCTCCTCCTCCTCCTCCCTCCTCCTCCTCCTCCTCCTCCTCCTCCTCCTCCTCCTCCTCCTCCTCCTCCCTCCCCTCCTCCTCCTCCTCCTCCTCCTCCTCCTCCTCCTCCCTCCTCCTCCTCCTCCTCCTCCTCCTCCTCCTCCTCCTCCTCCTGCCTCCCACCTCCTCCTCCTCCTCCTCCTTCTCCTCCTCCTCCTCCTCCTCCTCCTCCTCCTGATCCTCCTCCTCCTCCTCCTCCTCCTGCCCTCCCACTCCCCTCCTCCTCCTCCTCCTCCTCCTCCTCCTCCTCCTCCTCCTCCTCCTCCTCCTCCTCCCCCTTGTCCTCCCTCCTCCTCTGATCTCTCAACGCACCCAGTACACGGGTGCCAACTGGAACGCGTGCCAGGAGCCTTTTTGGGGGCATTGTGGCAGTCTCTGGAGCCTCTCCGGGCCTTCCTTTGGAGTCCTTTGCGGCCTTTGCTGGCCCGTCTGAGGGCCCATTTCGGCCGTTCCGGGTCACTCTTGGCTCGTCGTGGGGACCACAGCCCGTCTTAGGGCCCTCCTGGGGCCCTCTCCGACCATGTAGGAATCCTCTGGTGGCCCCCTCGGGCTTCCTGGGGGCTCTCTGGGCCGTCTTGTAGCTCTACTGTGCCGCCTGAAGCTCTCTTCAGCCCATCTTGGAACCCTCTTTGGGGCCTCTGGGGCCGTCTGGGGTCCATTTTGGTAACAGAACTGAAAAGCGAAGCTCCCAGAAATAGATGTGTTCCATGGGAAATGCTTGTTTTTTGCTTTTGGAGGGCCTTCTCAGCGGCCTCTTGGACAGTCATGGGGGGAGTCCTTTTGGGCCTTTTGTGGCCGTCTGAGAGCTCATTTCGTCTGTCCCAAGCCCATCTTGGCATGTCATGGGTAGCTGAGCCGTCTTGGGGCCCTCATGGAGCCCTCTCCGACCATGTAGGGATCCTCCGGTGGCTCCCTTGGGCCCCCTAAGGACTCTCTCGGGCTGTTTTGGAGCTCTCTTGTGCTGCTCGACGCTCTCTTGAGGCTGTCTTGGAGCCCTCTTGGGGGCCTCGTGGACCGTGTGGCGCCGATTTGGGGAGCTTTCGGGGCCGACGTGGCCGCCGAAGGAACAGAATAAGCAAATATCATGAAGAATAAATGTTTCATTTTTTGTTGCACCCGGGAGCCTTCTCAGCGGCCCCCTGGACCATCTTCAGGGAGTCCTGGTAGGCCTTGTTTGGACCTTATGGGGCCCAGCCCAGTTAGGCCGTTCTGGGTCCCTCCTCGCCCGTCATGAAGACCTGAGCCCGTCTTGGGGCCCTCGGGGGGCCCTCTCCGTCGGGGATCCTCTGACCCGGGTCAATCCAGACCCGGGTCAGCAGGAAACCAAAAACTGCAATGCAGAAAAAAAACTGCAACGCAGGTCCTCGCAAACCCGGGTCAGCCAATACGCGCGGCCGCCTCGCGGCCACGAGCGGCTCCCTAACCCGGGTCAGCCAGAGGGGGCCTTCGCAGGATCCTGCAGGATCCGGCGCCCTGGCTGACCCCCGTTTGCACTGACCCCCGTCTCGAGGCTCCCGACTCCGACCATGTAGGGATCCTCCGGTGGTCACCTCGGGATTCCTGGGTACTCTCTTGGGCCGTGTTGGAGCTCTCTCGTGCTGCTTGAAGCTCTCTTCAGGCCGTCGGGGGGCCCTCTTGGGGGCCTCTTGGGCCGTCTGGGGCTCAGTTTGAAAGTCTCTGGGGCCGTCGCGGCCGCTGGTAGGACTGAAAAGCAAATGTCCAGGAACACATGCTTTCCACAGGGCATGCTTGATGTGTGCCCTCGGAGGGCCCTCTCGGCGGTCTCCTGGACCGTCTTTTGAGTGCCTCTGTGGCCGTCGGAGAGCAGCCTTGGGCTGTCCTCGAGCGCTCGTGGCCCGTCCGGAAGCCACCTCAGTGCGCTCTCCAGCCACCCTCCAGACACTGAGGGATGAAACAACGGCCCTGTCTTGGGTTACAAGTGCGTGGTCTGTAAACCTCCTGGGGACCCCCAGAGCCCAGAGGACGCCAGGACGCCGCACGTCACGCAGGGCTTACCCCGTCCGCCCACAGGAGTTCCAGCGCGCAACGCCTCGTAAACCAGGGTAGGGGCATTGCTTAAGCCCTTTAAAACATCCCGGGGCGCTTTGGGCGCCTCTTGGGCCAGCTTGGGAGCCTCTGGGCCCCCCTCGGCCCCCCATGCGAACCAGAGGTCGCAATTCTGGGCCCTCCCACAGCCTACTCCGATCTACGTGTGTGTGTGTGTGTGTGTGTGTGTGTGTGTGTGTGTGTGTGTGTGTGTGTGTGTGTGTCTGTCTGTCTGTCTGTCTGTCTGTCTGTCTGTCTGTCTGTCTGTCTGTCTGTCTGTCTGTCTGTCTGTCTGTCTGTCTGTCTGTCTGTCTGTCTGTCTGTCTGTCTGTCTGTCTGTCTGTCTGTCTGTCTGTCTGTCTGTCTGTCTGTCTGTCTGTCTGTCTGTCTGTCTGTCTGTCTGTCTGTCTGTCTGTCTGTCTGTCTGTCTGTCTGTCTGTCTGTCTGTCTGTCTGTCTGTCTGTCTGTCTGTCTGTCTGTCTGTCTGTCTGTCTGTCTGTCTGTGTGTGTGTGTGGAAGGGAAGTCCTCCAAACTGCCTTCCTAATGCAGATTTGTGGGCGGTTTAGTCGGAAGAGCGCTCCCGCGCGACGCCGCCCCCGCCCCGCGAAGGGAGGCACCCTTGGCCGACCTACGTCCTGCCTCCTGCGCTCTACGCCCTCGCTCTCGCCCCCGCCCTCTTCCCCGCCCTCGTCCTCGTCGTGATCCCGACCCCCATCTGGGGAAACCAACAACCTGCTGGTGTCCCCAGATATCGGAGAGGCGTAAAATTAGGTCGGACATGTCCCCCTATTGGCGGATTTTGAATGGAACAATGAACAATTCGCACACACACACAACAAAAAAACGTACCCCCAAATACAACACATGTTCCCCAAAAACGTCCCCCAATTATTGTCTGACTATTTAAATATCTTCCTCCTGTAGAAGGACATGCCCGACTCAAACGTAAACGCCCGGGTACGGGGGACTCGGGTTGGCCTGACGGGGGCAGGTATGAAAATGACGAGGCCCAATCTGAACTTTGTCGCGACCTCCCGCTGCAAGCATCCCACGGACATGGGACCGCCACGGTCCAGGACGCGCTCGCCGAACAACGTCGGCAGACCCGAGTTCTGGCTTCCTCGAGCCTCACGTTCCCCCAAAGATGGCTTCCTCGAGCCTCACGTTCCCGAGTTCTGGCTCCCTCGAGCCTTACGTTCCCCCAAAGATGGGGATATGGATCACGCAAGGAGCGCAAGGCACCGCGAGAGGGCCCTGGGCCGCGGGCACTGGCGCGGGGCTCCCCGGGGCACGGCCCCCCGCCCCCTCGGCGGGCCCCTCTCCCACCCGCCTGGCCCCACTCGCGGGCCTCTCGCGGACTCCCCACTGGTTGGCTTGCTTTCCACCGCCACCACCTGAAGTAGGAGGGGGAGGGGGTCCTCCTCCTCCTCCTCCTCTTCCTCCTCCTCCTCCTCCTCCTCCTCCTCCTCCTCCACCTCCCTCCCCCCTCCAGCTTATGGTGGCGGTGGTGGACAACATGCCCATCACCCACTGCCTGCCACAGGGGCTCGCGCAGGGATTGCAAGGGCAGCTCCTGCGCTTCCCCGGGGAGCAGCGCGGCATCGGTACCTCTCAGGTACCGATACCGCTACTCCCTGGACCTCTCCCGGGGCGCGTTCTCACCAGAACGTCGAGGCGAATCCAGCAGCGACGACGGGGGCCTCCCAGCAGGCCAAAACAAGCGAAAGCGAGCGGAGGGTAGTGGTATGGGTACCTTTTCCTTCCCTTTGACGCCCTCCCCAGACCTTCGACGTCATGATTTCTCATAACGTCGACCTCAGAGGTCTCGACCCATTCCCCAGGACCAGTTTTTCATCCCGAGTTGTTTTTTGACGGTCCCGAGGCTCGGCGAGGGCCCCTGGAGGCCGAAAGCATATGAAGACCTCCCGTCGTGTTTTTTTCGTGACCCTAAGGGGTCTGGGTCCCCCTTCCTCCTCCTGTGGCCGGTCCTCCGCCTCGCGCTCCCGGCGGCGCTGCCGGTCGCGGCGGCGCGGGCGCTCGCGCTCCTGGCCGCGGGGGCGCTGCAGCTCGAGTAGGGGATCGACTGCAGAATTGATTGAAGTAAGTGCCCCAGGATTGGTTTCTGCGTCGAAGCCATGAGACCTGCGACGGCAGCTCGTAGATCCACGAACAGTCTACGTATGGCCCGACGAGAAAATCAAGTTTTGCATACAGCAACTCTGCAGTCGATCCCCCACTCGAGCAGGGGGAGGGCTGGGCCTCTCGGCCGGGGGCGAAGGGCCCGAGCGGCGAGCGCGTCCACGCAGTCCGCCTGCATGGGAAGGCTGCGCGGTGGGGATGCAAGGGCCTTGGCCTGGGCGCCCCGAACATCATAATTTCGAGCACCCGGAAACGTGTCGAAAGAGTGGCGAGACAGTGCTGAAACAGTGTTTCCCAAGGCCCAGCGCGTGAAAACCCTCGAGTTTCGGCATTTTTTTGGTGCTCGGAATTCTTTCCGGTGATCAAGACTAAAAATAAGTTGGAACATCAATATTCCTGGCCTGGTCCGAGGACGGATCCCAGACATCCGGTGATGTGGTCCTGCTCCATGCTCGGCTCTTACGAAGGTCCCGACCCCTTCGCCTGGGGTGTTTACTCATCCCAAATCGATTCTCGGGGGCGCGCAAACATGGATTGGCGATCCACAGATTTGGCGCGCGGTCGCCAAATCTATGGATCGGGGGAGGTGCCCTCCCCAAAGTGCGGCCTGTGCCGCCTTGCTCGGCGGCGGAAATCCGCGATTTCCCATGGAAACGGGGCCGGTCGCTGATCCACGCCCCCTTGATCCATGCTTGCGATCGCCAGACACATTGATCCGGAACTCCACACGTAGACTGAAACGAAGGTCTGATGCGATACAGCAAACAGATGTGATCAAGAGAATCATCATTGAAGAAACCTGGGCCATCTTTCTGGAAGTTTCTTAAGCTAAACCTGGGCCAAGTGTTCGTCTTAAAGCTGGAGGGGCGAACGTGCTCAAGAAACTGGGCCAGTTTTTCGGGAGGAGGTTTCTCAATCAGATGCTCGACTGTATCCCTGGGATGACGATCGTACTTACTATCAAGGTTGACTCTATGGCCGTTTCCTTCGGGTTTCGGAGGGTACCTCCACAGCTGGTGTGCTGAGATGGTGGGGGTGGATGGGCAGGGGTGGGGATAGGGATACGGATAAGATGGTCGGTGAAGCGATGCTGTGCCTCGTCGGGCGGCGGGCACGGCGGCGACCATGACTGCATCCAGACGCCAGATCCGCAATTCAGTGCCGACGATTCGTACTATCAGGGTGGACTGCATCCGCTACGTCAGCTGGAACCGTTCGTGGACTTCCGGGGGGCGGCCCCCCCCGTCCGGCGCCCGCCCGAGACCAGACGCGGCCCTCGGGCGCTAAAGACGGCCGCACACCGCCTCGCGCCATGCCCACGACGGCGCAGAGTCCCCCGACAAGCAAGACCCCAAACATCACAATGACGGCCAAAGACCGTCTCCAGCTGGCGCTTTGCAGTCACCATGCCCGTCCAAACGGACCCAACACTCTTCGAAAGCGCTGCGCGTTACACCCCGGAGCCAATAACTGGGAACCCGGAACCTGGAACCCGGGAACCCAGCCTGCTACCAAAATCGGCGGGAAACTTTCGCCAAATCTTTCAACTTCCGCTAGGACCCCTTCAGTGCAAGCACTGATTGGGGAACCATCGCGCCCACGACGGCCCCAACGCCCCCGCCGAGACGCCTCCCAGAAGACCCCGAGGTGCCCCAGCGAGGGCCCCCTTCACAGACAGGAGAGAAGTCATCTTGCAACATGTCGGTGCGCTTTGTACTGCAAGCGCGTTGATTTACAGCGAAGGCCAGTCCACAAGAAACCTTCCACAAGAAACCCATCCCTGAGACCCCAGGGCGTCCACTGAGCTTCGGTGTGGGCACGTCACGCGTTCTGTAGCAAAACCGCCACAGTCCAAGAAACCCAGGGCACCCTGGAGACAAGCAGGGCGTTTCCTGGCATGGGCCTCCACCGTGCTTTGCTTTAGCCGCGCGGCGGTGCTGGCTTTGGGTCGTGCGTGTCCCCCAACAAGCGGATTTTGGACGAAGCATGAAAAATACACTAAAAATGCTCAACAAGTGTCAACAATGCGCAGAAAATCGTCCCCAGACTACAGCACAAGAAATGATCAAGAAAATCATCATTGGAGAAACCTGGGCCAGCTTACTGGAAGTTTCTTAAACCAAACCTGGGCCGGGTGTTCGCCTTAGACCGGCCAGGCCCCTCTGTCGGGGGCGGCCAAGAGGGGGGCGTCAGAGAGGGGGGGGCGCAAATCATGGCCGGCGGCATGTGTGCGGCCCAGGGCGGGACCCAAGGACGCAATGAAACAAGAAGAGGCACCATGAAATCTGAGGAGATCTCATGGCCCACGCCATGATATCCCCCCCCCCCCTAGTCATCACCCCCCTCTTGGCCGCCCCCGACTCTGACAATCTGCGGCGCCGCGCGGGCCAGGCGGGGCGGGGAGCCGCGGCCTCCCCAGCGGGGCAGTGGGCTCCCCGCCTCTCACTGGCGACAGTGTTAGGTCGGGCATGTCCCTCCACAGGAGGAATACACGTCGTGCATTTCTAATCGTGATCATTTCTGATTGTGCTCGTTCCTAATTGTTCCTGGCCCCCTAGTGGCCAGGAAGATGTCTAGGATAGAAGAATTCGAAATGAAAGGACCTTGGCCCCCAACAAAAATCAAAAGAACTCTCGAGGAAAAAGAACTGAACAGTGTGTATTCAAAAATAGTGAACAAGTAGTCTGGGGACGAGTGTTGGGATTGTTTTGTAAAATGTTGGGATATGTTTGGGCTACTTTTGAATGTTTCGCCCCAAATCCGCCTCCTAGAGGAGGACATGCCCGACCTAAGACTAGTGTGCCAGGGCATGGCCGAAAATGCGGGTTCCGCGGCGACCTTCGCACACGAGCGGCTTCCGAAGAGGTTTCCGGCAAATTCCTGCAGGCTTCCTGCGGTTTCTGCGGCATCCGCTGGATCCCCCCGTCGCTTCTCCATGCGCCAAGCGACAACAGAGGGTCTCGCTTGAAGCACGCTCACCGAGGTGCTGGCCTCGGCTCAGGGTTCGACCGCTGTCTGCGAGGTGTCTGACAGGCCCGCAGTTCCACTCGAACGTACGGCAGAGGAACTTCATTGCTGCGTCGGGCGTCCTCGGAAAGATCAGTGTTCTCGACAGTTGCGGTGCGGTCCTGGAGGGGCTCGGCGAGATCCCCAAGTGGTCTGCGTTGACCAGGGCGTGCATAATCGCCCTTTTCGTTGGCAACTGAGCTTCGCTCGGGAACACTGGCGTGCTCGAACTCAAGAGGCACCTGCTCCAGCCGCAGTGGCTACGGAATCAAAAAATCCAGATGGTTCCGAATTTCCAAGCGGCGACTCGCCAAGATTCCCCAGTGGCCTGCGCGCGCTGTCCAGGAAGCGCACCATCGTCATGTTTGCCACTCTCATTGCCACGTCCGACGACCCAGGCGCCTCTGAACGTCGCTCGGGAACACTGGCGTGCTCGAGCCCAGACAGCGCCGGCTCGAGCCACATTGGCCACGGAACCAGGCTCTCCAGTCTTCCAGCTCCTAGGCGGAGGGCAACAACCATCAAAAGCAGAAGCCTTCCCCTGTTGGAAGGTCTCCGAAGAAGCCCCCAGGGACACCTCTGCACTGGGCAACACAGCAACCTTGCAACGTCGACTGCGGCCACACCGAGCCGCAACCTCGCAGCGCCACTTCCCAGACACGTGGGGGCATCACACCCAGAACGTCCCACAAGCTTCCTGGGGGCCTGTGAGTCACGTGGCGGAGCTCGGAAGAACGGGCCTGCATGGATAGTTTCCGACGCTGCCATGGCCCGGTGGCGGTGATTGCAGTAGGCAGCTGGGCCGTCTCACGGGCACCATAGCTTCCCCGTCCCTGCCGCAGGCCAGGCTCTGGCCCACGCGCCGAATTTCAGCAAGGCGCGCGTTGATGGGCAAGGCCGTCTCACACAGCCATCTCTACATCCGGCCTAATGTTGCTCCCATCGTACTCAAAGACCACTTCCTAGAAATAATTTCGAGCACCCGGAAAAGTGTCGAAAGAGTGTCGAGACAGTGTCGAAACAGTGTCTCCCAAGGCCCAGCGCGTGAAAACCCTCGAGTTTCGGCTTTTTTGGGGTGCCTGAAATTCTTTCCAGTGAACAAGACTAAAAATAAGTTGGAACATCCTAATTCCTGGCCTGGTCCGAGGACGGATCCCAGACATCCGGTGATGTGGTCCTGCTCCATGCACGGCCCTTACGAAGGTCCCGACCCCTTCCCCTGGGGTGTTCACTCATCCCAAATCCATTCTCGGGGGCGCGCAAACATGGATTAGCGATCCATGGATGTGGCGCGCGGTCGCCAAATCCATGGATTGGGAGAGGTTCCCTCCCCAAAGTGCGGCCTGTGCCGCCTTGCTCGGCGGCGGAAATCCGCGATTTCCCATAGAAGCGGGACCCGTCGCTAATCCACGCCCCCTTGATCCATGGTGGCGATCGCCTGCCAAATTGATTATGATGGCACCAGAGCCTGATGTCGGGGCCCGAAGGCCACAATCGAAGAAAAACGCATGGGCTCAATAAATCATGCCGGCCGGGCCGAGGACAGGAGAACATCCTTCCATAACATGCGCCGGCCAAGCGGAAGAACATTCGAGGGCATCCGCCCCCAGGATGCACAGGAACATCCAACAAGCGCGAAGAACAATAGGGCACCCTGCCCGAGGCCTCGGATCTCTAACCCAGGCACAGTGGCGGGATGGGCCGAGGGCCACTAGATCCGCCGCCCCCTGTGATCTTGCCACAGGGGTGCCTGGCATGCTAAAGGTCTGGCAAGTTTCTGGTTCTTTTCTGACGAATTCCCCGTGGAGTCTCGCCGCATCCCGCCGGCCACCTGGTAACCTGCCCAATTTCGGCCTCCGTTCGACCTCGATCCTACACCTCGGTCCGACCGTACCGTGAGAGATCTGGGATCGCCACTCCTCCCCTCGACTCGACGACACCTGCGCCACTGTCGGCTACACACGCAGGAGCGACCCTGGGCAAAAATGATCTTCGGTGCGCGGCTTTTGGGGAGCCGCGGGGAGACCAAACACAAGCGCGTAAGACGCCACAATCGCATCGCGTTCCCGGACCCCCGACGTCCAAGTTGTCCACAGCGTCGACACCAAGAGGTCTCGACCCGTTCCCCGGGGCCGGTTTTTCATCCCGAGTCATTTTTTGACGGCCCCAAGGCCCGGTAAGGGCCCCGAGGAGCCAAAAATAAAGAAAAACCTCCCGTCATGATTTCTTCGTGACCCGAAGGGGTCTGGGCTTGGCGAAGGGTCCCTCTCACGTGCACTCGACACTGGGGGAGGGCCGCCCCTGCCGGTCTCCTCCGCTTCTCCCTCCGCCTTGTCGCGCCGGTCTCGGCGCCGCTCGCGGTCCTTGTCCTCCTTCGGGGCTTGGTCCACCTCCTCGGGAGTCGCGGGGTACCGAGACTGCCTGCCGCGACCCCGAGATCCTGGCGTCTCGCGTGCTTCGAGCCAGGCGTCTTCGGCTCTCCCTTCGGGCCTCGGGGCCCTCGCACTTCGCGCCCGGCTCGCAGAGTGACGCAGAAAGGTGGGATTCCAGGGCTCGGGGTGCGATGCGTGCACGATGCTGCAAATGTTTTGCTCGCTACGTCGGACCTCAGGGTACCACGAGGGAGGGGCGCCTGAGCTGGATCGAAGCGCAAGATCAGGTCGGAGCGAGAGTACGTCTTAACGGTGAACTAAATCAACAGAGTGGTGTCGATAGCGTAGTATCAACAACGTTCTGTCAACAGCGTAGTGTCAACAGCGTAGCGTCATCAGCGTAGTGTCAACAGCGTAGTGCCACATATTAGAAGCGTACAGTCTCTGCTCTTAATGCGAACAACGTGCGGTCAACAGCGCAGTGTTAGTTCACCCTGCGTTACGTAGTGTCAACAGCGTAGTGTTAATTCACTGTTTGAACTGATAACTCACTGGTACTTGCTCGCTACGTTGGACCTCAGGGTACCACAAGGGAGGGACGCCTAAGCTGGATCGAAGCGCGAGATCAGGTAAGAGCAGAAGCGGTTCTTGGACGCGTGGAAATGGGCACCAACACCAACACCAGGGGTTGCCTCCACGGGAGGAGGATGATCCTGGATCTTGGTGCTGGTGGTAATCTTTCGGCCGCCCAGGAAGCCCGAATACTACCACCATCGCCGAGATCGGGATCATCTTCCTTCGGTGGAAGCACACCGCCAATACTGGAGTGTTGCTACCAATCTCTAGGCATCCGAGGTTCGGCATGGCGCCCGGGTCGGCGCGGCGAGGTCGCATCGAGATCGGCTCGCTTCTGGGGCCGTTGCTAGGGCTCTCGGCTCCTGCAGGCCCACAGAGGGCATCGACGGGCCTGTCGTGCACCACCGCCACCGGCAGTTGGAGGGGGAGGAGGGGGAGGAGGAGGAGGAGGAGGAGGAGGAGGAGGAGGAGGAGGAGGAGGAGGAGGAGGAGGAGGAGGAGGAGGAGGAGGAGGAGAAAGAGGAGCACCCCCTCCCCCTCCAACTTATGGTGGTGGTGGTGGGACACAGGCCAATCAGGCATAATCGGCCCGTGTCAGATCGGATCGGGTCGAGACCAGCATCGAAGCTCGGGGATCGGATCGGATCGAGTTGGACCGCGAGCAGCCCTGGAGAGGTCACCTCCAACTCAAAAAGGGAGGGCCGCACCCCGGCTCCCATTGCACACACGGTTGCAAATAGCCCGCGGGGCGGCATCGCGTGCGGCATCGCGCTTGGGGGCGGGGGGGGGGGAGAGAGCGAACGACAAGCCTTGGATTCAAGCGGAGGCTTCCTGAGCTGGGCGGCCGGAAGTGGTGGGAGGGAATGGGGGAGGGAAGAGCCAGAAGAGAAGCAAGCTAGGTCCACGCGCACTGCGTCTGACATCCCAGCCCCCTCGCTCATCCCTCCCGGCTGCCACGCACCTCATCATGTTTGTCGAGCGATCTAACCCATGGATGGGAAGTGCAGTGGTCGGCTGGCCGTCCGGTGCGCACAGTGCGGAGGGGCAGAGCAGGACCAAGCTGCACGCATGGACGTCTGGCGACGGTCGGGGCGCAAGGACGGCGCGCACCATCGGGCGGCGGCGTGCGCGGGGCAAACGAAGCGGATGCCGAAACCTCGAAACTCCCGCGACACAGAACAGCATGGGGGAGCGGGAGAGCAATGGAATCGGGCGTGGGAGTTGCGGGGAAGGAGCTGCGAAGGGCAGGGGGGGATGGGAGGACGAGGAGAAGAAGGCAAATCATGCAAATGAGGAGGAGGAGGAGGAGAAGCTAGGTGTGCTCGCGTCACATCTGACGTTCTACCCCTCCCACAAATCCCTTACCATGGCGTAGATCTCTTCTCCATTCGCACAATCGGATGTCGTAGTATGGCGTAGCATTACATGGCATAGCATGGTGTTGAAGATCAACGCGTAGCATGACATAGCATGGCGTGGCGACGCCCCAAAGTGGGGGCTTCTGCGGCCCCAGAAATCAACGAATCGTCACCAAATGCGTAATCACTTCCGATGGTTTCTTCAGGAGGCCATTTTCCAGATTTTGGGGCCTCTTTGGAAGGACCGAAGCCATGCCGTGGCATGGCACTGGAAATAATGACGCCAACGCTGCAGCGGGAGCACGATTCGGAGGCGGAGCCTGACATAGCATGGCGCGGCGACGCCCCAAATTGGGGGGATGGCTTCTGCGACCGCAAACATCAACGAATCGGCACCGAATGTGTAATCAATTTCGATGGTATCTTCGGGGGGGCATTTTCTAGATTTTGGAACCGATTTGGAAGGACCGAAAACCATGTCGTGGCATGGCGCTGGAAATAATGACGCCAGCGCGGAAATGATGCCAGCGCTGCAGCGGGAGCACGATTCGGAACAAGCGGTGGCCCGAGAATGAAGCCAGCGCCTCAGCGAGAGCAACATAGCAACATTTTGAACAACACACCCCAGCGAAAACCCTTTCCCGGGAATCCTGTGTAAAAAACCAGTACGCGAAGGGGGCCGGCCATTTCCCGGACGTGACCAGCAGAGAGAGGAGAGCAGTATTCATATGGTGTGACTGTAGAGGAGGAGGCACGGGAGCAGGAGCAGGCGGCGGAGGAGGAGGGCCGGGCAGAGGAAAAAGGAGGTAGAGGACGGATGGGGTAGGGGAGGAGTCGGAAGAGTTCCCTCTGCTCCGCCTCTCCTCCTCCCCTCATCCCCCTCTTCCTCCCCCTCATCTTCCCGTCCTCCCGACTTGAACTAGTAATCGTGCAATCAGTTCCGGATTCATAGAGAACGGACCCGCCCACACTCAAGGGAGGGGCGGGGAGGCCAAATCGCGGGCGCCCAGGGACGGTCCAAGGTGGCCCAAAATGACCCCGAGACTGCCCACGAATGTCCCAAAGGGCCAGGCGGGCCAACGATGGCACAAGATGGCCACAGGACGGGGCAGCAGGCTCCCTCGACGGCATCGATCTGGCAACACTGACGTACATCATAGCCGGTTTCTGAGTGACATTGGGCTCATGCTACGGCATACGGTTGCAAGTTGGAAACACAATCCTGGAAGTGGAAGTTCGACTGCAATGATCTCCAATACAAAACTGCTGCCTGACCAACTGTGGCTGCCACAGTCACCCAAGTACCGCCCATATCTTCAGACCCTGCAGAAGAATAACGGTTTTCAGGTAGACCCTCTGGCGAATCTCGTGAAACATGGTGCATCCGCATCTCGATATCGCTCGTATGCAGCATCCACATCGCGATATGTCCATGCATCTGGACCAGCACGACTATGGCTATATGAGCTGTTGGACTTCGGCGGGCAACTTAATACCGCTTCCCTGAATAAAAACAACAACATGCGCATCGCCTCGAGAATGACATCCAGGCGACCACGGGCGTGGGCAAGCATAAATCCTGAGCCGTGTTGGCCGACCTCGCTATCCATAACTCGAACCGCGTGACCGCGTCGTCCACCGTATCATGACCCGTGCGCCTGGGCGAGAGTGAACATTTCGACGGCTGTCTGTCAGGACTGACGTCTCTATCTCGAGCTGGCCGAAGCACACGATTGTCTCCTATCAATGTATCGGCGCCCGTCTCGACGAACGACATTGCACATGGCATCGCGGCGCCAACTCGCGATTCAGTCAAGAGGCACCCCGCTAGAGGAACAAACAACGGCATAAACATACACTTTCGACGGGCCGGGCGGATTTCTCGGATCCGCGCTCGGGCCCCCTCCCTTGCGCGCGGAGCGCGCCAGCGGCGGCGCCAGAGGCGCCGCTGGGAGGGGTCCATCGCGGATCCAAGAAATCCCCGCGGAGCGCCAAAAGTTGATGTTTATGGCGTTATTTGTTTTCCGATGGCATCGCGGCGCCAGCTCGCGATTCAGTCTGGGGGCACCTCGCGGCAGAGGTTGGCCATGCCGGGCCACGTCTGGTCTCTCGGAAGCTCGGTGGCCACGCGCCAAGGCGTGACGCCCAGCAAGCACCTCGAGCCCAGCCGGACAGCCCTTGAGCTCCAAGGAGGGGCGCCCAGAACAACGGGGCGTTGGACCGGGGATCGACCTGAGCAGCGTTTTGCGTTTTCGTTATGTTTTCGTTTTCCCTCGTTCTGTCTTCAATCCGCCTTTGCGGTACAACGAAATCGAAGCGAAAACGGTCTACGGAATCGCCAAAACACCGTTTAGGTCGACCCCTGCGTTGGACGTAGTCTGCTGCGCCAGCTCAGCCGCTGGCTGTCCTGGAACGCAGGGATCATCCCCGAGCGCAAGAGGGCAACGCTCGCCGAATGCGATCCCCGCGCGCTGGATGAAAGAGGCCTGCTACCAATGGTGTCCTCGCTCGTCCCTGCATGCTTGCGGATACAGCCGTTGTTGCCGACGACCGTGATCAACTGGAGGAGCATTACGATGCTGTTCTTCGCCGAGTCGCGCTTGAGACCGCACGCCAACGCCACAGGCGGGAGCACTGCCTGTGTCTCGGCAGCGCTCCGCCACGAGAAACGATGTGCACGAACTGTTTTTTTTCTCCCCCAGCGCAATTTTGGAGGGGAGGAGGGGGAGCGGACACATCAGCACGATGACACACTCGGCGACGCCAGTGAGCTACCTCAATCGCCGTGGATGCGTCCAGCCACGATGTGCACGAACTGTGAAGACAGTAGATGGCGAGTGCATGGCGAGCGACGCAGCAGACGGATGCGTTCACTCCGGGGTTCGGGCTGCTGCTTCCCCCTGCCCGAGGTCCGCTGCGGCCCCACTGTCTACCATGGGCTCTCTGCCGGCTGACTGATGCCGCTGCCAGCGAGCACAGGCGGACGGTCCAAACGCGGAGAACACATGATCTTGGACAGTGGACGGCCAAGCACGACAAGCACGTAGTTTCTGGAAGGGCTGCACTCCTGCTTGGATTTCAGCTGACCAGCAGACTGCCTGTTGCCTGTTCCCCCCCTGAAACGACAAATCCCCTCCCCTCCCCACTCCTCGTGGACAAGGGGGAAGGAGGAGGAGAGGAGGAGGAAGAGGAGCACGAGCAGGAGGAGGAGGAGGCAAGTGAAATGGAAATGAGGATGAGTGGGAGGAAGAGGGCACGGAGGAGGTGGAGTCGGGGGAGGAGGCTTGAGGACGAGGCCTGGGAGGACCAAGACCTCCGACGTCGTGATTCCTCCTCGCAACCTGGACCAGTTCCACGGCACCGGCGTTATACCCTGAGTCCTTCTCTGACGACCCCGGGGCCCTGTGAGGGCCCCAAGATGCGGAGAATTGCCAAACACTTTTCCCCTGCAGCCTGAGTGCTCGCAGCGCGCACGTCCAGCTCCTGCGCCGCGGCACGCACGGCAGCCCTGTTGGCCGCCTCTGGAGTCGCCGCAAACAGCGGCAACTCGACAGGGCAGAGCGGCGGCGGCGCAGCAGGCGTCGCAGGAGAATTGCCAAACACCTCCCGTCGAGCTATTGGTTCAAGACTCGAGGGGGTCTGGTTTCCGGGCCCTCCCTCCGTCCTCCGGCGGCCGATCGGGACGCTCCGGGCATTCCCCCGGGACACCCTCGGCGAGGCGCAGCTGGAGGAGAGCACCGGGAAGTTGGAAAGCCTCCCACAAACACCGAAGATGCAAGAAAAACTCGCGCGTCAACTCGAAGAACCAGTGTTTCAAATATCATTCGCGCGAAAGCGCCCGTGACCGCCCCTCCCCCTGATCACGTCACGATTCGCCTCGATGCCGCCTGGGAATGAGCCATTCCTAGGCATTCCCAGACCGCGCCAGCGCGAATCGTGCCTTGGTGGTGCGCACAAGGGGATAGGGTGAGGGGGGAAGGCTTCTTAGAGGGAGGCTAACCCTTAGAAGGCGCGGGCCCCTACATCCATCTACAGACAAGGCCCGCGCCTTCTGAGAAGCAGGGATGCTTCTAAGCAGCCTTCCCGCGTCCCCCTACCCCCCTGTGCGCGCCGCCAATCTTCCCCCCACCGTGACCACGGCTCCGAGGCGAATTCTGCCGTGGCGACGAAGGCGGGCCCTAGGGCGGAGGGCCCAGAGAGAAGAACAAGAAGAAGAAGAAGAAGACGAAGAAGAAAAAAAAGACGAATAATGATTGACAAATGATTATATTAGCTGTGAATGCTAATCCTTCTTTTTCAACATCTCAATCAACAATAGGAGGAAGACGAAGAAGAAGAAGAAGAAGAAGGACACTAACTCACAGACCACACATACACGAATCTCCGCAAACCCGCGCGGATGCCTTGGATCGGCGCTGGGCCTCCACTTCGTCCGGTCACGCCCGCCATCGCCAGGGGACAAAAAAAACTGTCTCGAGGAGGGGGGAGGAGGCTCACAGTCCCGCCGCCGTTGCCGCCGCCCCGCAGGCGCCATCATCGCCGTCGCCATCGTCGCCGTCGCCATCGTCGCCGTCGCCATCGTCGTCGTCGCCATCGTCGCCGTCGCCGCCGTCGTCATCATTGCCGTCGCCGTGGTCGTCGTCGTCGTCGTCGCCGTCGCCGTCGCCATCGCCGAGCGCGCGGGGTCCGCGTCTGGCTCTCCCTGGGCGGCGGCGGCACGCTCGGCGCGCCGCTCGCGCCGCCGGTCTCGGTCCCGGTCCCGCTCCTGGCTGCGGTGGGAGGTGCCCCGCCTGCTCGTCGTTCCTCTCCGCCTCCTCCTCCACCTCCTCCTCCTCCTCCTCCTGCTCCTCCCCCCTGCACCCTCCACCCTCCTCCTCCTTCTCATCCTCCCTCTCCACTCTCCTCCTCCATCTCCACCCTCCTCCTCCGCCCTTCTCCTCCATCTCCACCCTCCTCCTCCGCCCTCTCAACCCTCCTCCTCCTCCTCCTCCTCCTCCTCATCTCCTTCTCCTCCCCCTTCCCCTCCTCCTCTTCCTCCTCCTCCTCCTCGTGCTCCTCCTCCTCCTCCTCCTCCTCCTCCTCCTCCTCCTCCTCTCTCCACCCTCCTCCTCCTCCTCCGCCTTCCTCCTTCATCTCCAACCTCCTGCACCACCCTTCTCCTCCTCCTCCTTCTCCACCCTCCTCCTCCGCCCTCTCCACCCTCCTCCATTCTTTCACCGTGTGGATAACTCCTCCCTGTCGCACCCCGAGGCCAGTCAGAAGGGCGGGCCGGGAGTTTCTCCTGAGACTTCCCTACCGCTTATACGCTTGAAGCGTAGAAGTTGGCAACAGTTTTAATAATGTAGCCCTCGCCTTAGCACAGCGCGTACTTGTCTTACAAGTTTGCAAAGTTTCACCGACAAAGGGCAGGAGGGCAGGTGGGGTTCAAAATGTTGATCTCGCCTTCGCGCTGCGCACATTCATGTTCAACATAAGCATGACCTTCACGGATTGAGGGCGGGTCGTTTTCAATGTGTGGCTCTCGCCTGAGCGCCGCGCACATTCGTTTGCACAATTTGCAAGAGCTTCAAGGATTGAGGGCGGTTCCTTTTCAGTATGTGGCTCTCGCCTCAGCGCCGCGCACATTCGTTTTCGACATGTGCAAGAAGCTTCGCGGATTGAGGGCGGTTCCTTGCAAACATGTGGCTCTCACCTCAGCGCCGCGCACTTTCGTTTCCAACCTTTGCAAGCGTTTCGCGGATTCTCATGGTAAGCTGGTAAGCGTACCAGAGATGGCGTTTTGGAGCAATTCAGGGCTGTCAGGGCGCAACAGTTACCATGGTTCGCGGCGTTGAGTTCCCAGGAATGGTGCTCTGGCACGACTCAGGGCCGCCAAGACGAGACAGTCATGTTGACTTATGGCGCTCAAGTCCTGAGAATGGTGTTTTGACACGCTTCAGGATGATCACAGGATTGTCTCACAACGGGGCACTTTCCTCAGTGGAAATGAACCCTTGTAGGGGCATTTGAAGAGGGAGCTTGGTGGGAGGGTGCTGTCCAACATCGTGGATGAGTCTTAGATTTGCACTGGTCCTGCTCCTCCTCCTCCCCCGACGTCCTCCTCCTCCTCCTCCTGCTGCTCCGCCTCCCGCTCACCTCTCTCATGGCTTTCACATCACCCTAGCGAGCCAGGTTCGAGAGAGCTGAGACGACGTGGGAATCACCAAAGAAGACTGCTTGAATTTCAACGCTAGCCGCCATTCAGCCCCTTTGGGGCTACGTCACCCCACACCTGTATTCATGGTACCCGACCGCTAGAACCAACGCGCGCGCACGCTTCGCACGGGCTCGTGGAGCCTAGCGTGTCATGCGGAAAGGGAGGCAGCGCGCGAATGTGCGAACACCACCACAGGGGGTCGAAGTCGACGCGCTTGTTGCTGATGGCGCTTCAGGGCCTTTGGTCGAGGTGAGGCGTGCGCGACTCATTGGAAGTGGATACGCGTACTCAAGTGTCTACCGGCTCCCTCCGCTGGGGCAGTGGACGAGGATGCAAGGCACGGAGGACGGAGAAGAGGAGGGAGCGGGGTGGGGGGGGGCTGAGAGCGAGGGCGAGGAGGACGGAGGAGGAAAGAGTGGCGGGGAGGACAGGTGGTGGCAGGTGATCCCACGGGGGGGCCACAGCGGATCGGGCCAGCTGGCGTCGCCAACGGCCGCCGTGGCGCGCTCTGTCCTGTGCGCCACACGGGTGCTCAAAAGAACAACTCCTCCCTTTTTGTCTTCAGCCCCACCTCCCCATCACCCGTGACGGGGCTCTCGCGCGGCCATCCCTGGGCCTCGGGGCATCTTGGAAGGCTCGTGGGCCCTCCTGCGCCGCTGCGCCGAACGCCCTCCTGGGCTCCCTTGGGGCAGCACCGGGTCTGCTGGAACCTTTTCGGGGGCGCTCTTGGAAGACTCGTGAGCACAGCTGGGCTCCACGGGGCCCCCCTGGGAGCCAGATCGGCCCACAAGTAAGGAGATCAACAGAATGGAAGAACGACTCAGGAATTACCTGATTGCCTGCTGCGTCTCGCAATCTGGAGGTCCTCTCCCCCCCCTTCCCCTCCTCCCTCCTCCTCCTTCCTCCTCCTCCTCCTCCTCGTGGTCTTCCTGCTCATCCGTCGTGTACGTCCCTCTCCACGAGAAAAGGAAGTGACCAAAAAACGGCCAGCTCGAAAAGCCATCAGGAGACAGCACGGGGTCCCCTTCAGATCATTTCATCCTTGTCGTGAGTGAGGGGCAACGATAGGGGGGGACTGGCACACGGGGGGATGCATCGACCTGGAATCAGCGATACATCATCGATAGATCGCCGATAGGCCACCGATAGTGAAACCGCACGTTCCTGGGCAGGGTGGGGTCATCCGGCCCCTATCAGCGATGAGGGAAGATTGTGGGTCGATGCGTCCCCCCCTATCGGCTACACGCAAGAGTGGCCCTAGGCAAGAGCCTTTAGTGCGCGGCCAGGGGGGCGCTCTGGGGATCCCGCCAGACGCGAAAGCCGCTGCTATCGCATCGCCCTCAGCCACTGGGGAGCCCCATTGGGCCCGCACCATAGGTCACTCCCGCCAAAGGTAACTCTTGCGCGTAGTCGACCCTTTTCGTATCCTCCCCTATCGTTGCCCCCGATGTCATGAGGGAGAAGGGCCCTGGTGAACTCCGGTTCCGAACCCAACGGCTTCCCCTGGGGACAAGCCCTCTTTCCGAACCGTTGTTTTTTTACGGCCCGCACGGGCCTGGGAAGCGTCCCCTGGGGAGACGGGCCAAAACAGGGAAATAACTTGTTTGGCCTTGACGGCTACACCACATCACTGACAGCACTTCACACCTCTGCGACATGGGGAATGACAACAAACAACGAAAGACCTTCAGGGCCCGGTCTCCTCGAGGATATACGGCGATCTTTAGGATGGCGACCATCTGTATATATATATATATATATATATATATATATATATTTATACATACACATAAACCTATACCACCACCCTGCGGGCGATAAGGAGGTTGGGGGGGGATTGAGATCAAATGCCCACCCTGACTGATCTGCAGCCTGTCACCTTGATATCATCTCTCTCTTTCTCTCTGTCTCTCTTTGTCTCTCTCTCTCTCTCTCTTTGTCTCTCTCTCTCTCTCTCTCACCCTCTCTCTCTCTCCCTCTCTATCAGAGTCTTCCTCCACCACAGTGATGATCGCGATGACGATGAGATCCCACTATCTACCTATCCGTCGACCGACCTAACGGTGAATCTCACTGTCGATCTCACTATCGACCTCAACAGCAAAATGAGAAAGCCCGCCGCAGGCGCTGAAAAACGATTTGTTGTCGGACAACCACAGGACACCCATCGGCACAACCACCATAAGAAAAGGATTATATAAGATAAGATGGATTGCATTGGCCCGCCGCAGGCGCAGAAGCAAATGAATTGATGGATTGGGTCGGGTGGATTGGATCGGGTGGGATAATATAAGATGGGACAAGATAGCTTGGATAAGATAAGATGTATTGGATTGGACAATATGGATTGGATCATATAAGCTGGATTCGATAAGAAAGCCCGCCGCAGGCGCCGAAAAAAAGGAAATGTGAAATTTGCCACATGCGTTAGCGCCGGGACGCCCAGGACCCCCCGGGACACCCGGAACACCGCCCGGCCCAACTGGGACACCTCCCGGCCACCGGCGGACGGGAAACGGACTTTCGCTCCTACAGACGCCCGGGACACCGCCCGGCCCAACTGGGATACATCCCAGCCACCGGCGGACGGGAACGGACTTTCGCTCCTACTTCGGACTAGCTCGAGGAGGATCACGCGCAGCTTCGCCTCGCCCGCACGCACGACACGAACACGAAACCGAAACCGATTTCCCTGTGGGGGGTCTCCGTTTCACTGCGACCTTACCCCCCGACCGCCGATATATATATATATATATATGTATATACACACATATATATGTGTGTGGTCGCAATCTCTCAGATGAGAGGTCGCCCCCTGGATGTTTGCTGGGGTGTCTCTTTTCGGCGGCGGGCGAGGGGGGAAGCGAGAAGGGGCGGGCCTTCTCAGAAGGCTCAAAAGTCCCCTGGCCTTCGGAGAAGTTTTCCGAGCCTTCCCCGAAGACACACCACTTCTCAGAGGGCGCGAGGGCTTCTGAGGAATCCTGCCGCCTTCTGGGAAGGCCTTCTCCTTCTCACTCCCCCCCTCGCTCGCCGCCGATCTTTTGGGCAAGAATTTGTTCCGAGATCGCCAGCCGTGGCGACTATAGGAGCCTCCCCGGAGGCCCACATTGGAGGATCCGAGGCGCACCTCGAGGGTTCAGCCCCCGCGGAACCCAGACGTGCGAGATCTGGGGGCGCGCACGAGGGGGTGGAGGGAGGGGGGAGGGCCACTTAGAAGGAGGCTGCTTCTCAGAAGGCGCCGGCCCTGCATCTGCAGATTATGGCCCGCGCCTTCGGATGAGCAGGGGTGCTCCTGAGAAGCCCTCCCCCCTCCCCCCGAGACCCCCCTTTGCGCGCGGCCGAGGGATCTGGACTTTTTTTCCATGCGCGGCCCCCCGACGACCCGACTCGTCCCCCCGTGGGCCGGCGCTGCACCCCAGGTCTTGCTGCCGACGGCCCCCCGAGGCCCGGCGAGGGCCCCCCGACGCCGGTGAAAGACGGCCATTAAGGCCTCCGGTCGTGTATGTTTTGCAGGCGGGCGGAAGAATCCAGGCCCTAAAGGGGGCCTTTCGGGCCCCTCTTGGGCACCGGCTGGCCCCCACAGGAGCCCTGGATAGGCGGCCCCCCTCGAGGGCCCTCGTCTTCGCACCCCCCCATGTGGGCCACACCCCCGTTTTACCACCCGCCCGATGTGTGTGAACGACGCGAGCCCAGAGATCCGATGTCGCAATTTTTTCAATACGGGGTCCCTGGTAGTCTCGACCCATTCACAAGGACCGGTTTTCCATCCTGAGTAGTTTTTTGACGGTCCCGAGGCCCGGCGAGGGCCCCTAGAGACGGACAGATACGAAAAAACCTGCGTCGGGACTGCTTCGATGCCTGGGATCTCTGGGAGCCTATAGCTCCGGGAAGCCCGCCGCTCCTTGGCCGGCGGGGGGAAGTACAGCGTGCGGAACCCCGCCATGCCGGGGTCCGGAGTCTCCAGCCGGCTGGCCTCGCGCGCGGCGGGGTGCCGCGCAAAGGCCCGGGCGCCCAAGCCCGCGCGGCCCGCGTCGGGTCGGGCGTGTCCTCCTGCAGGCGGATTTTGAAGGAACAGTGAAGACTAGTCAAAACAGATGCAACGGTAAGCAAAAAATGCTTCAAACCAAAAAAAGGCGTCCCCAGACCTCTTTTTGACTATTGTTGAATGTTCCTCCTGCGGAGGGGCCTGCCCGATGGAAGGCCAGTGAGTTTAGAAGGAAAAGTGAAGAATAGTCAAAACATATGCAACGATAACAAAAAATGCTTCAAACCCCCCAAAAAAGTCGTCCCCAGACCTGTTTTTGACTATTCTTGAATGTTCCTCCTGTGGAGGGGCCTGCCCGATGGAAGGCCAGTGGGACGGCCCTGCGCGTTGGAGTCGGCTCAGGGCCCGAGGTGGGCCCAGCAGCGGCTCCCCTGAGATCCTTGGCAGCAGCAGCAGCAGCAAAGGTCCGGTCGCGCGCCGGGGCCGCGCGCGCGCCCCGCGAGTGGAGACGGCACTGGAAAACCGCGCAGCTGTGCCCCCCCCCCCTCCGGGAACAAGAACTCGCCGGCAGGCTGCTATGAAGCCATGTGGAGTCCACGAAGTCCTCGTCGAGAGTTGCCAGATATGAGGCCCGAGCGCCACGGAGGAATCTTCGACAGTTGCCCCTCCAACGAGATCCCTGCGTGGCAGGGTTGTTCACAGCGCGTGCCCTCGCCCAGGAGGCTCGGGCCCCGGAGGGCCCACACAGATCGCTCCAGCTCGGAGGCGGCGCAGAAGAAGACAGGGGTCCGGGGTTGGGGTCGTGATGCTTCGCGATGGTGCAGCTTTTTCGCAACGTCGGATCTCAGGGTCCAGCCAGCAGGAAGGGGGGGGGGGATGAGGTCCGTGGCGCACTTGCACATGCATATAGATGTGGAGCTCCAATTTTAGGTAGGCCTGAAGTTTCAGAATATCCTTCGACTTCGAGCCGACCTTCGAATTGGAAGGTTCTGGGTTCAGGAAGCCTTTTGGGGCCTCTCCCAGCCTTCGGGGTGGCTTTCGCGCCCGGGGCGGTCGGCCACGGATGTCCGCGGGATGAAACACAGTGCACCAGATGGGCCCCAGGAGTTTCGTTGCTCCCATCGCACTGAAGGACCACATCCCAGAAAGAACTTCGAGCACCCAGAGAAGTGTCGAAAGGGTGTCAACAGAGTGCCGAAGCAGTGCCGGACGAGCGTCTCCCAGAGCCCGACGCGTGAACACCCTCGAGTTTCGGTACATGTCTTTCTGGTGCTCGAAATTCTTTCTGGCGATCAAGGCTAAAGTAGGTTGGAACGCATGTGAACGGCTTTGGCCTCATCCCCCCCCCCTCCTGACCGCTCTTTCTAGACAGGGCCCCAGCCAGCTCGGACACCCCCAGCCGCCTCCAACCTGCCTGCGGCAGCTCCGCGTCGCGAGGACGCCTGTCGTTCGCGTCCCCTCGTTCGCTCGCTCTCGGCCAAAGTGTCATGCAGACGCGGCCACCTACCTCCTCCTCCTCCTCCTCCTCCTCCTCCTCCTCCTCCTCCTCCTCCATCCCCTCCTCCTCCTGCTCATCGATCGTTCAGCCTCGAAGGACCGTGCAAGGAGTCCGATATGGGCCGATGCTGGGCCACTGGCGGCGTTCCACCTCGAAGGCCCGCGCTGGGGTCGCCGCCGCGGCGACGCGGCGCGAGCCTGCCGGAAGGAAGATGGCTCTGAGGCATGGAAACTCCCAAGGCCGCGCCAACGGTGTGCTTGGTTAACGGTGTTCTTGGGAATCTGTTTTTTTGTGTGCCCGAGCTCGCGCAGAATTAAATGTAGGAAATCACGATACACCGTTTCCTACATCTCAAATATGCGAATGTATCGAACGAGAACGACACAGCGAGTTGCAGGAAA